AAGAGAAATGCCATAAATAGAGAAGAGAGAAATGATGGATTAATATGAAAAGACTAGGTATATTAGGATTTTAAACCAATATTTCCAGATAAGCATCAACATACCCCGGCTCTTCGCCATTGCAGAGAAATCCTCAACATTTTCCTCCACATTTTGCTCTTCTTCAAGCAACCCAAGCTTTCTCTTTTGAGCCTGAAGAGGAATATGGAGTTATACCATATCAAAGAATATAAGGTAAAGGTGTTAAACTATAAATCACCATGTACACTTTCTCCTCGTCAAAAATTAAATACCAAAATTTTAATCTTCACCGAGCTATTTCTCACAGGTACAAAAACAAAGTTGGTGCTTTGACATGCATTAAAAGCATCGAACTCAAGTTCTATTTCCATCACTTCGTATCAGAAAGCAACTATATTTAGGAAGGCCTCAAATACAATACTTCTGCTGTGCAATTAATCCATCTCATACATAAGGCTTCTAGTTTGCTGCTCATGTACATCACTCAGAAACATAAGTTTTAAAGTATGCCTCTAACATGCCTGCAGGTGAATAGATGTAGGATTGTCAATCAAGCCTAAGCTGTCAACTTTTAACAAGCCACTGCCTAAACCAAATAGAGAATAACTAAAGAAAACCAATTATTTGATATGTGGAAAACCCACACGAATAAAGGATTAGACAGGAAACAAATGATGCTAGCTGTTAACAACAGACGTCATTTCTTCTTCTCTATTTTATTCAATCATTATTACGATTTGATGATCACAAACCAATACATGCCAGCTTAAACTAGCCTACCACATTATCACTAGAGGATTTCATAGTTTGGCGTGGTGAAGAGAATTCGCACAACTTCGAAGAAGCAAGCACGAAAAAAAAAAAAAGTTAAAGCAATGGTTCCCAACACTTGCAAACCAGCAAACTAAACTTAATTTGCCATTCTTCTAAGAGATTAATTCTAACAAACGCTCAAACACATGCACCAAAAACCACCATTCAATAGTTAAAGGCAATTAACAACGTATTACATAGTCAATTGAACTATAAAGTCAACAAAATTACAATAGAAATAGCAACAAGTTAATTGACAATTTGAATAGTACCCGCTCTTTGCGGGCAGCCTTCTTTTGTTCCAATTCTTCCAGCGCACGAGCCCGGCGGGCTTCAAGGGCCTTGAGCTCTTGCTCCTTGAAGGGCCAGTCGTTTGGAATACCCGGGTCCTTCTCGACCTTTTTCTTATTCGTAAAACGAAGCTTCTTAGCCTCCTTTGCCTTCTTTTTGTGGTGTTCTTTCACCTTCCTCAGGATCTTGTACTTCTTCTTCAGCGGCACTCTCTTACTCTTACTCTCTGCGAATCACATACCATCAGAGAATATATATTTAAGATAAACAAAACATTTCACTGAATCGACACAATTCATTTACAAAATGGTTAACTCAATTCGATGATCAGATTGCTTACTTTTGCTCTTCTTCACCATTTTGGCTCTTGATGATACTAGCGATGTTCCGTGGTTTTCAGGCTTCCAGTAAGAACTATTAACTAAGATGGCGAGATAGAGAGAGAGGAAACTTTAAGGGTTAGGGTTTTCCCGAAAAAAACAAAAAGCTAAAATAATTAGGGTTTAGCGAACATTTGCCGTTTGCTGGGCCCGCGTCCAGGCATGCAACAGAACGGCAGCGTTTAGATGCAGAAGCCCTTTGGGCTCGAACAACGGCGTCGAGTTGGAACATGACAACCTGATGGGGAAAAGAAAGGAATGCAACGGCATCGTTTTAGTGGACATATAAGAAGAAAATTGGACACTCGACAAATTACTGTCCTCGTTTTAATATTTATTTACACAAACTTTTATTTTAGAAATATGTTATAATAATTATAACTACAAGTAAATCTATTTTCAAAGTGAAATCAAAGTTTTTGAAAAATATATTACTTCCTATTTACTATATCATATAAACAACGCTTACAGCAAATATATTTATTAAATTTATGTTATTTTAATTTATGATTTAATATTTTAAAATTAAACTGTATAATTTAATTTCATGTTTAGTATAAATTATTTTTACAATTTTCTCTGTTGTTGCATGTAAGAGTATAACACAATATTTAATACAGTGTAATTGATCCTTTATATTAAATTATTGATAATCTTATATTAATAAGTTATTATCTTACAAAACTAATTAATAAAATGCAACTCCTTTATTCGGCAAATTTATTATTTTACTCGATTATTTTTAGAATATTAATAATTGATTTTAAATAATTTGTATCTCAAAAGTAAAATTTTGTGTGTTATAATTTAATATGTATGTGTTAAATATGTTACTTAATATTAATTACGAGACATAATTTTTTTTGTGATCAAATAAACTTATAATTTGTTGCAATAAAAAGTAAATTAAAACAAGCATCATTTATAAATTTGTTGATTTGTCGCAATTTTTTTTAATTAACCCTTAAATAGCTGTTGTAAAGGGTGGTAATATATTAATATTATTACAAATGTACTACATAAAGATAAAATATTAGATATTATTTTATTCAAATTTTAAAATATAAAAAATTAATATAATACTATGTATAATATTTATCTATTTAAAATTTAAATAAAAAAATAGAAGTTAATTGAGTACAAATCGTCCACTTTATAATATTTTAATATAAAATAATTTTAATAATATGTAATAATTATTTATTTATAATTTATAATATAAAGATAAAATTTAGTTTTAAATTATTTATAATTTACATTATATAAATAATTTTAAAAATTATAAATCGCATATAGTATTTATTTATTAAAAAGCAAATAAAAGAAGTTGATGATTTCCGCAATTAAAAGAAATGAATACACTTTTTTATTTAAAAAATAAAAATAAAAGAAATGAAATATTTGTTACAGCGCCAGTGTAATGTACTAAGCTTGTCGGGGTGATAATAATTCCATCCGGGGCGGGACATTTCGGGTACCCGAGATGGCGGGTACAATTACCGATCCGAGAGGCATGGGCCAGCGACAACGACCGCCTTTTTTGATGTTCCTTTTTTTGTTTGCTTGTATTTCTCTCTTTCAACACGACTGTTCGCAGCAGTACCCGAGGAGGCTCCAAAGGAAAAGTTGACGCGAGAAACCAGGTACGCACAACCCATATCTCTTCGCAATCTTTATTTCTCTCATCGGTTTACTTACCGGAAAACCCTAGTTTCAACTTTCGTTGAATCATTTTCAATCCTTCATTTGGAGACGAATTTGATATACTCGAATGTGTATTGTTGACTTGTTTATGCTCTTGGTTTGATTTTAATTTCACGTAGAAAGTTGAAGAAAGCTAAGATGAGACTGCTAGTGTTTAGGTCTGTGGATATGATGGTTTTGATTTTTCTTTGGAGCCAAGTTAGTACATTTTAATTTAAGTCACAGTCGGTTAATTGCATTCATTAGACGTGATTTTCCGTGTCAAGGTCATGAGTAATCGTTAATCTCTGGTTCTTTTGAGCTTATGGCATTTGTTTTCTGTTGTATTTGCTGAACTATCTTAATCGATTTACCAATTGCTGCATTACTCTCGAGGTTTACTTGAAATTTTATGGATTTTCGAATGGATTATATCTTTGAATTGGTGTGAAAATTGATTTGCTAGCTCGGGGCGATAAAGTGTCTATCGAGGGATATGCAAAATTAGCAATGTGTTGATTCCGTGGTTGGCAATTTTATCAATGGCTGAGTTTGTACCTTCACTGCCATGCACCAAGCTACATATACAGGGACATTGGAGGGTCAAAGAGAAAGGCCATGTGCTCCCAAGTTCACGTCTAAGTATGCTACAGAGGTTTGTCTTTCACTCTTTTGCTTCACTTTTAGATCCCTTTGTATTTTTGTAACCTGTCATCCTTGATATATTGGTTGACGCAAAAAAATAAAATAAAATAAAATAAAACTTGTTGGTTTTTTGAGTAAGTCCGCAATACTGGTTATTCTATTTGTGTATTCTGTCTGGTTAAAAACCATGATGGTGATAGAAAATGGAAGTGTTTTATCTTACTTCGGAGATTTTGTTCTCTTTCTGGTAAATTGGATTTATGTCTGCAATCTGGAAGTCACTGTTAAGTCATAGTTTTAATTGGTGTGCTTTGATCTGAACTTTCTCCCTCTGATGGGTCTAAGATAATTTGTGAATACACTTGAAACAATGGATGCCCTTTAAGTGCAAATAATAATGACCTTCTCTATATCTGTTTCCGTTGTGCCTTTAGGAAGTCTTGTTATGGAAGCTGTAATAATTTATGGCTCTCAACATGGAGAATGTGTAACCTTAGTGCTCCTAGTGTCCTAAGTTTGAAGGTAAGTCCTTCTACCAGGGAGAGTTCCTTCAAGAGCAGTTGCTTGGGGTGTTTAGCAGATCTTGATGGTATCGCTGCTTCTGATTTGGTACCTCTTGCTGATCAAGTACTTCTGATGGCCAGTATACTCCTTACATATATAGCTGGGGTCATTCCTGCTCAGAGTTCTGATTTTTCTGTGAGAAAGAAAATCGCTGATGAAAATATAGTTCTTGCAAGTCCAACCTCTCCTGGTAGGTAAGGGTAAGCACATAAGAGATTTGAAAGATGGAGTATGTTATCCTTTTAGGTGCTTATAAGTTATCTGTTTCGCTGGGAACTGTAATTCTATACACTTGCGTGTTATTTTCTTGTAGTGACTTGAGATGCTTTCCCTGTACATGCAGTGCCGTTGGAAATGATTGCAAAGTTGATTTGAAGTATGCTTGGGATGCAGTGAAAAGAAAACTTTTGGATTCTCTAGATGCTATCGAACATAGAACTAATTTAGGAAGTGGAATTGTCAAATGCGAAGAACACCCAGCAAAACCACTGCTAAATCTGTATGCTATATCTGAGGGTCCAAAATTAAAGTTGCTTTGGGCTTCTTTTCACCATCTCGAGGAAGAGGCAGGCACTGTCTTTGTTGTGTCTTGTACTATATTTGCTTTCAATAACTTGTTTTCTCTTCAAAGTGGTTTTTTTGAGCACTCATTACTGTTCAGGAGACAATTTGTTGGGGGTTTAAGATTTTTAAAGTGCTGATTATTTGGAACTTCAGTCTGTATATGTGTTTTTGGGAAGAGAGGGAGAGAGAACCATTTTGAGTTCATGAACCTAAAAGTGGAACAGAAACTTTATAGAAAAGGTCACACAGCTGCATATGGACCTATATATCTAATTGTTTAGTGTGGACAACTTAAGCCTTATAGGCAGGAAAAAAGATAGATTTGGTGTATTTAGAATGGTGATGGATTTCTAACATTATGGTAGCTAGATGTGTCACAGTAAGTCAATGGGGATTTTCTTTTTTGAAACACTTAGATTTTTGCTGCTACCTAGTAGTTTGAATTTTACTCTTCTGTTAGGCATGGAACTTGAGAAACTTATCATTATGTGTTTCATTTAAAAAATTGAGTCAGAGTGAAAGGTTGAATCTCAGTGGAGTGGCAGTGAGCTCATTTTGATGCATTAATCTTTTATTATTATGTATAGTAAAAAAAACATTCTGGTGGTGCTTGTTCCTTGAAAGTGCCAGACTGCATGATTAGTGACTAGATTGTTGGTTTTATCATGAATCTACTGAACTATTCTGCATTTTGGCAATTGATTGCATCATATTATTTTTTTCAGGTGAATAATATAAGTATTTCATACACTGTGAACATGGATGATTGGAAGACTGTTTTTTGCAATATTATTCGAAAATCCTGCCAACCAGCATGTGTGGCTTGGCTGGAAAACAAATTTTTCCAAGAAAACAGCAATCATAATAAGGTGCTTTGAAATTTAATTCATGACTTTTAGTACTATCTTTGGTTCTACTAGAATTACCAACAGTGGTCCTACCTATCTCCTTATTTCATAGGCAATGCTTTCTATGATGATCGCAAAGCTAAATGAAGAGGAGACAGGTGTACAGAATATAAGAAAATCCGGGAAGGAAGATCTTTATTCAGAATTTCTACATTTTCATGTATTTGGATCTCAGAGGTAAAATCATTTCTGGTAATCTCCGCCTTTCTTTATCCTATTGATGCAGATACCATTTTTAATTACTTGATCAAGAATCATGCAACCTCTGTTTCCGGTGGTACAATTAATTGACAAGATTGGTTAGTATCACCTACAGCATGGTGCATAGAAGCATCTTGGGCTAATTGATTTTCTTTTTTTTTGCTGGAATATGTAGTTGCTTCTTTTACTTTTTTGTCTTATTTGTTTTTGATAAAAACATTCAGATTTTCTTTGAGAGAATGTATATTTCTAGTGGAGCGCAGCCATATTAATATGGAAAAGTTGTTTTTCCAAGAAGTAAAACTGGTTCATTCTATTTTTCTAAAAATAAAAAGAGAATTGATTCTCTTAGATATGTGAAACTTTTGCACATGGGCGGTATCCCCTTGGTGCTCTTTTCTAATACATTTACTAACTTCTATCTCAAAAAAAATAAAAAGAGAAACTGATTCGTTACCCGCACTGGAGCAATCTTCTCTGGTACTTGTTGCTAGTCTAGGCATCCTAAGAAAACAATACTATGGTATTGGTAGTTTCTCTCAACATTTTTTAGTTTGCTTTTGTTAATAGCTGAAGCCATATGTAGCTTAGAGTCAATTCTCAGATTGGTATCATACAGTTGCATCAGCAAACATTCCTGTTCTCTATCTTCTTCTGGGGTTCATTGTAGTAAGAAATAAGTGATTTGTCGTGTGGCTTAAAACTAGTGCAGAGAGATTTACATAATGCAAACTGCACCAATTTTTGGCCCCTCCAAAACTTGGATAAACTCTCAAGACTGGGCAAAGCTGAAGTGGAATTCTAAATAGTGTAAAGTAGCAGACTAGCAAGACTTAAATTTGGTGACTGCTTATTAAGGGATTTTTTTTTTTAATCTTTTTCCTTCCCTTTTGGATGCAATATGTTTCCGCATCGAGAATTCAAGTGTAGGTAATTTGTAGTGTGGAAAGTAGGGTTTCTGTAGACATATCTGATCATGTATTTAATGTCTCAGGTGAAAGAATTATCAGACAATGAACTATCTAGTTCTGCATATTTTTCTACATTTATGTTTTTTGAGAAGAAAACAAAATTCACTCATATGGCTTCAAAGCCTAAACGATGTTGCCTGTTTAGGATATGGCAACATGTCTATAAAGTACCCTAAATTTCTGTTACAATAGTGGTTATTAGGGGATGATACTGCTTGAGTATATTCTACATTGATATATAATTATTCATTCCTTATTAAAAAATAAGTGGTCTCTGTTAAAATATTGCTCCCTTTTTTAACAGGAAGGATTGCTGGTATGACCATAGCTTGTTCCTTTCACATGGAGATTCTATATTGGAAGATTTGGTGATAACCTTAGCAGATGGGATTGCAACTAGCTATTTGGAGATTATATCTGTAGATGGCAATATGTCCAATGAAATTAATTGCATGAGTTTGGATATTTGTAATTTGTCAACACGAGCACTCCAGAGGTTACGTAATGAGGTAAATTTTTTTTTAACTGAATTTCATTTGCTGATCATCGTTAAATTATTTATATACTATTGCATATGCATGCATGTATCTTGGTGTGTCTGATGCATGTCATGTGCTTATGTTACTGAAGTTTCTAATTCAGGAAAAAGTCATTATACAAGTTCCATGACCTTCATAAAGATCTCAAATATTGTAAACTTTTTTAGATAAACTCTGTTCTAATGTAGTGAGTGTGCAAATATGGAATTTCCACATAAACACAACAATGTTTTTGAACTTACAACCTGCATTTTTTATGAGATAGGTGTAATGGGATCCCTCATTCCCCTGTTCCATCTAAAGGGGGTGATGTCTTAGTTCTTCACCGCTATCAAACCTGCATATATTATGAATAACTATTTGGTGTGACTATATGAATCCTCTCTCTTCAACCCATCCCATTTGACAATTTGTTCTGTGCTCTGAGTTTTGAGAACATTAATCTTTATTCTTCTACCTGTCAGCACAGGTTTCAGCTAGGCAATTTATGATATAACTAATTGTTAACTAATTGTCTTTCGCAGGTTGCTTTGAGGTGGTGGTTATATCAAAATATGGGGGCAGTGGTAGCAATGTATGAAGATCGTTTTGACTTGCTTACTCTTCAGAGCAAATTAATTGAGCAACCAAAGAGGGGTGACGCGGAAAGTTCTAGCTGGTGGAAGAAGCTTACGTGGAGAAGATCTGGACCTGTGTCATCTCCGTTAAGTTACATTGTGATGAGCCATTATTCTATGCCAGTCAAACGGACTAAGGAATTAAGGGCCTTAACTGGTTGGTATGTATTTACTCTCTGGCTTTTTCCCATCCACTTGCATGCCCATAACACAATCATCCGATAGATGTAGAACTTCACTTGATTAAACATGAAAAATGCAGTCAGAGACTAAGAAGAGACTGGCGTCCAAATTTCAGTTTATCTATCTCATGAAAAGGATTCTTATTAGGCTCGAGGTAACTTGACCATATAGTTAGAGAGGATGGTGGCTCTTTTTATCTGAAAAAATAGAGTTAGAGAGCATGGTGGCTGAACTGGAGTTGTGCTTTCGGTTACTTTTGTCTTACTGGGGACTTTTTAACTGTCGACGAGATTTTCCATGTGCCTATGTGATTGAGTTTCAGCATCTTTGTGAGAGTTGAATGCTGAAGCAAAAATAAGCTTGGTAAAAAAGACAAAATTATTCATAAAGCTATTTTGTATTTTGTTAATAGTAAAGTGCTTTCTGAGTACAAATTTAAAAATCAATCATTCCTAAGCATTTTGTTATCAAGGGGCACAATCAGTCAAGAAGAGAACCTGGGGACATGATTATTTTCTAAGTTCTGATCTTTTACAAATGTTCTTTGCTGGCAATCCCTTGGTGCCTATGAAATAGTAAATATACTTATTTTTCTCTCTCTCAAAAAAAAAGAAAAGCAATAATCTATTTTTCTTTGCGGTGGAAGAAAATCCAAGAGCACTTGGGTTATATTCTCCCCACTTTACTTATCCACCTCTTGTTTAATTGAGGTTTTGAGTAGCTATCAAATGCCACTAGAAAAGTGGCAACCAAAAACTCTGCCAAACAGGCATGCTTTTTTGAAGTTATGTGGAAGAATAGCTACCAACAGCTTACTCTTTCATGGGGACGTGTTGGGCTACCCCTATAAGTCATTGTTTATAGGCAGTTGCTGTTTTAGAGCTATCCTGCCATGGATCAGTCAAGGATAAACTATAGTTGCTAAGAGGACCTGTTTTGCTATGGATATAAGCTCTGTAGTTTCTTTTTTTCCTTTTTTCCTTTTTTCCCCCTTTTCCCCTTTTTAATGTTTAAATACAATTTTCTTGCTTAAATCCAGTTATAATTTCAATTGCTGAGTACGCCTTGCGTGATTTTGTTCCATTGGATGCAAGGATTTTCTTACTTTGTTATGTTTATTAACTGGAACCAAGAAATCATAGATGACATTTGTCAACTGATCAATCACTGACAAGCCTGTTTGCCCGAATCTCCCCTGTTCATTAAATACCTGCTCGAAGCCTTGAATGTGTCTTGTTGTATTTGCTTTTGCTATTGCGAAGATGTTCTATGTCTCAATTATTTAGTTTTTGAGAGAAAAAGGGTAATGGTATCGGAGGCATGGGCCTAATGCGCACATTCTGCTCAAGCTTTCTAACCATATCATTGTATGATTTGTAATGAATTTTGAGAAAACAAAAAGGTCATTGTTCCTTAGAAACTGGTTTATATGTTGGATAGGATCAACTACCTTCTGAGATGGATTATTTTTATGTTGCAGGAGATATTACTTCAGCCTGTTCCTTGAGTTATCTGACATTACCATGCCATTAATCAGGGTTGTTTTTGACAAAGTCAGCGGTGCCATCTCATTCTTTCTTGTTTCTTTGATTGGAAGGTCCATAGGACTCGTCTATACTGGAATCAGGCAGTCCTTGAGATGGAAATGAGATGTAAACAATACATTTTATTGTCAGCTGCAATTTTCATTTCCTTCCTCTTCTTGAATATGACTAGTTCTACAAATATTACTCAAGACTGAAAACTTTGGGATGCACCACTTGAGGTTTTTCATTTTAACATTGATCAATAGATTAGTGATTGAATTAATTTATAATATTTGGCTTCTTCAACTTTGTTCTTAACTCAGTTTCTCCACCGAGCATTTTCTTGAAAGACAGCATAGAATGGAAATTCTTTGCCTGCCTGAGTGATGGGCATAGGAGTTTGGAATGGAACTTTTCTCTGGAGCATACCAACATGTATATGAAAATATTTTTAAAATTCTTATATTGAATGTTGATATGTTTTAATATGATGTGGTAGTTGAAAATAAGAATAACAAGAATTTAACCTCGTGTTATATTGGTATAAATTATGCTGTAGTATATAGTTCTGTTATGTGTGATTGAAAATGATATAATATAGTTTATAAATGATAAGATGGAGCTTACACACACGCAATATGTAGTTATAAATGCTATGTATATTACACATCTCAAATGAAAATACAATGTAGTACAACTTTATTATACGTATCTGAAAAGTGATTTCATAAATAAATATATTTCTTTCTTCTCATTTTCGATTAAAAAAATAAATATATTTAATATTTAATATTAATTTTATATTACTTAAAAAAAATTTAATAATTTAGGAAACAAAAATTAATTCTATAATCATATAAACCTAAATTCTCCCTCCTCCTCCCCCGGCTTTTTAGTACGACCCTCGCTCTCAAAACCGTCTCTGCTCGTATTCAAAAAAGTTACCCACGACGCGATAATCACCGACTTTCACACACCTCATCCACGCTGAGCACCGGCACCAGTTCACTGTCACAGCGGCTCACCATGGATTGATCATCCTGCTCTACAACTGGTCACCGCCTCACTCACAGCCGCACTCCGTTTCTCACGTACGGGCACCGTTAGATTTTCTCACAAGCTCTTTCTCTGTTTTCCTCGTTGATCCCGGGCTTCATTTGCTGTCCTGTAATTAGCTGGCAGTTGGTATTACTCTTATATTCTGCCTTCTTTAGCAACATATATGTCGTTTGGTTGGACTGTTACACGTTCCATTTGCTTGCTATTTTCGTCTGTTTGATTAGCTGCCTTTTAGTAGATTAGTTGGTTTTATTTGTTGATGTAAGAGGAAGGATTGAGAAGAACTGTTTGTTTGTTTTGTTCCATAAAGAAGAAAGAGAATGCATTATGAACAAAACACCAAGGTGTGCCGCCAATGTGTAGAGCAACACTGCTGGTGGCCATTTGTGATTGCTACCACACAGCGGTCTACAAGTCATTGGGCCTTTAGTGAAATGTTTGTGTCTTGTGCCAGTAGGATGAGAATGCGCAACAGAATTTGGCATTGAGCTCCGGACAAAATGTTACTTTAGTTCTGTTCTTCTCCGTCTTTTATAGTATGTAGAGGGATCTTTCCGACGCTAAGCGCATGCGGTGGTTCCTAAACGAACTTCTCTCCTACATCTGATTGCAACCAGGTACGTCTGGTCATTTTTTTACTTCCTCAACATGTTACGAGGCTCCAGTCTTCGGCGGGTCACCATTACTTGACCGTCTTTCTCAGATCTGTGAAAGGTGAAAGGTTGAAGGTCTACAACAGGTAACATAAATGAACAGGTTTCTTTTTCTATTCGAGCTGCTATTAAGCTGGAGAAGCCTCTGAAGAAAGTAATCAACGTCAACAAAAAAGGCTTCTGGGCCTTTCCCTCCCGTTAGCTTAGCATTATCTCACCCGATAACGGTGTCAAATCAATGCCCATGAACGGTGTCGAAGTGGCGATATAAGCATGAAAAAGGGCCAATGCTGTTTTCTTTTCATTTGACACATCTCTGTTGACTGCTAAACCCTAGAGTTAGGTTTTATGAATTCTTCAGTGACTATAATGCCTAGATTTTGATCGTAACTACAGCCACTTTTGTTTTCCGATTTGTTTTTCTGTTTCTCACCATTTCTGCATAAAATAGGATCGGATATGTCACAAATGGAAGATCCAACTCAAACTGCTAGAGTTACTTGGGAAGGTTGTAGTGTATTGCTCGACATCAATGATGGAGATCGTCTTGTTTTTGCTCGTCTATCGCCTGGCTCGTAAGTGCTTTTATTTAATTATGATTTTACTTTTGGTTTGCGTAAAACTATCACTGATGTAATACAACATGGATTTTAGTTTCT